AGGCCTGCATATTTATTTCCTTCATCTGAGTGCCCACAAAGGAGACTGCAGGAACTATTTGCTGAAATGAATGAAGCATCTTCCCTCTCTCCTACACAGTGCTGGGAAAATGTTATCTTTCCACAACAATAAATCTTGCAATAATGTAAACATTCTTTGGCTCTGGTTGTCCTGCCCTAACTAAGCTGGCCCGGGGTGCAGCTCTTCTCCACAAGTGGAGGTGAACGACTGGGAGCATGGGCTCAAGTTCCAGCTGCACCTCTTAGGAGATGAGCGACACACGTGAGAACATCTCTGGGCCTCTGTTTTCTCATCTGTAAAATGGGGCAGTGATACAACCGCAACCGCAGAGAACACAGGAGTTACTACATCAAGTGTTCTGGGGTCAGGTTCTGGCACACAGTAAAGTGCTATCTTCCCCTGCCACAACCTTAGAATCATTGCCTCAGCTACTCATTCGTCCCTGGACAATCAGGTTCTTTCAAACGCCTTGTCCTTTTCACATGGGTTGACTTACTAAATCTACTACTGACTCACTATGATTGTGTATATTTATTAACGTGGAAAAAGTTCCTGAGAGCAAAAACTGTATCTTCAGTTCTTCATAGAGCATGGGATACTGATTCACTTAATGTTATACTGGGATCATTACCTAAAATTAGGCTTTTTAATAGCTTGTGCTTGCATAACAAAGTTCAAGGTGACTCTTTCAAGTTAATGTGGATTTCCTTTTCCTCAAACACTGACTGTAAGTCAAGGAGGAGGAAGCTTTCTCTTCCCCAGTGTGGCAGGTTCTCACCATCATTTACAATTGTGATGCCATAAACACTGACCCCAGGGCCCAAGTGGTCTGTGAACGCCACAGTAGAGTGAGGAGTTATTCTCACTGCCATTACAGATCTTGCCTCTACGAGTAATTACTGGCAGGAACTTGCTCAGTAATGTGGGAGGCACTGGTTTCTCTTGTGTGTGCTTTTAGGGAGCAATGCTTCGCAGGATAGGGAGCATGTTGTCTCCCAAGTGGAAACAGGTGGAAAATAAATGTCAGTTCATCAGCAAAACATGAATGGGTAGATACTCTGAAGCTGGGAAAATTCAGGAGCTGGAGGCTCTTGGCATTAGGCTGTTAACAAGGTTGGTGGTTCAAAGATGAGGCTTCCTGCTTTTATAAGAACTTATCACCTTGGAAACACTCAATGGGTGGTTATGAGCCAGACATGACCGAGGGCAGGGGTTGGTTGTTTTTAGAGGGGGTGGTGTCCTATGGGGAAAGCACTAGAGTTTTTTAAGGATGCCAGGTTCTCCAAAGACTAGCAAATGCAGGAGGACAAAGCCGAGGAAGGAGGGTGCCAAGTATAAATATAGCCTGTAAACACCACTGCCTGGAGCAGGTCTCATGTCCAGGAGCGGCACCTACCTGCACGATCAAAATCCTTCTCCACTCTTGGTATCCACTCTGAAGAGCAAAAACTCACTGCTATTGAGTAACTCCGACTCTCAGTGACCCTCCAGGGCAGTGTAGATACTGCCCTGTGAGTTTCTGAGACTGGTAACTGCTCACAGGAGTAGAAAGTCTCATCTTTCTCTCAGAGTGGCTAGTGACGTCGAACTGCTAACCTTGTGGTTCACAACCTAACATGTAACCCACTACACATCACCCACCCTCGTACTATGGGCTAGGCAATCATTTCCTGGTGTCCTGGCTGAGGAGCAAACATCACACACAATGATGTCTCGATGGGAAAATGCTGCCAGCTGTAAACAAGTGACTGATCGATCTTCTGGAAAATGTCTCACTCATGAGCTGGTGGCAATACTGAAGTGGGAATCAATACCCACTGGGGAGGGTTTGCCAGGTTTTGTGTCCTGATATTCATAGCAAAAAGAAGACAGTCTCATTACAGGGAGTGATGTAGGAAGCCTGGCCAAATTCTCAGATTCAAACCTCAGTTAAGCAATGAATAATACAATGGTGAGGAAGTGGGAGGAGACTGGCCAAGGAATGGGGCAAACTGGAAGCTGAGGAAGCTGCAGCCACACAACCAGTGTTTGCGACTGAGCTCTTAGGAAGAAGCTGTGTCTCTATTGGTGCTTCTCTTATGAGCCCATGGCTGGCGCCTTATCACTCTTCAGATGTTACCTCAACCATCGTCTTCTCAGAGGGCCCTCCCTGACTACCTATGATAAAGTCAGCCCTGTCCCCACTGTCCATATCTGCATATCCTCTGATTCTGATAGTTTTTCCTTTTCTCCATTGCACTTACCATGACCCAAAATTACCCTGTCATGCCCTGTCTTTATTGTCTGAATCTACCTGAAAGAATGTAGACTCTAGGAGAAGAGTATCACTCACGTCATATCCACTAATATCTGCCTCCTACCTACCACAGTGTGTGACACACGGAAAGCACATAAAGTGTGTTCATGGAATAAACAGAGAGCTACTCTGTGATGATTAAGTTATAGGATCTATCTATCGATCGATCTATCCATCCATCCATCCATCCTGGATATGCTCTGATTAACTTGGCTGGGTCAGGATTTTCAGTAGTTTGGCAGTAATCCACCATAATGTGATCTAACACAATGTAATTAACTTCATGACAGGATCTGACATAAAATAATCAACTCTGAGCAGCCAGCAGCTGTGGTGAGTACAGTCCCTTTGCTTAAGTCACAATATTGATGCCATTGGAAGAAAGACTCCTTGTGGGTGTGGCCTACTCCTTTTCAAGCACACTCCTCTGCTGGTTCTGAACCCTGCATCTGGTTTGTCAACTTTCTGCCACATCGCCTATCACTCTTAGGAGCTATGAGAGCCAACTGTGGGCCTTGGATTCATTTGATTTTCATCTACCACCTTGTGGCCTTCCTGCTTTCTGGTTCATCAGCTCTGCAGTTACTGCAGTACATGAGTCAGGAGAAACTTCTAGCTCATCATTTGACCCATGGACTTGAACTGGCCTGGATTTACCCACTTGTATAATTGTGGGAGCCTGGTCTTTGTATAAATCTCTTTCTACACACACACACACACACACACACACACACACACACACACGTCACTGGTTTTGCTTCTCTAGAGAATCCAGCCTAACACACTATCTATCTAAGGGGCCCTTCTGTTATAGTGGTTAAGTGCTTAGCCGCTAACTAACAGGTCAGCAGGGGTTCGAATCCACCAGCTGCCATATAAACGCAGAAGCAACCATAAGACCTGAGTTATTTCACTGCTCTTTCTCTCCAGTGTTGGGGCAACAGCAGCTGCAGTAGCACTGCCGGAAGAAGACTGAAGAGCGTGGCCTCTAAGGTCTCTTGTAGCCTGAAATGTGTACAGACATGACCCGTACTGGCATAGTCAACACATGAGTGAACTGCTTTTGCAATGTTCTTTGACTCACACTCACAGATGTTGGGAAAGAAGATCTTTAGTTAAGACAGTCATTTTCAAACCATATTTTACCCAGATGCTATTTTTTGTCAATGGAATTTTACATGGAGCCCTGCTACATTAACTGCACACCTCTGGGTGCAGCAGGAGGAGGAAGGAAGGACTGGGCTCTGTCCTCCTAAGACAGAACATTGTCTATCTGTCTGAAGGAGTCCCTGACAGCTCCCAGGAACACAATGGTTTAAGGAGAAAGGGATAGGAAGTTATTTATTTAGACCGGAGGTGGGAAATGGCTAGCCCACTGGCTGTGTAGGACCTGGGAAGTCATCCACACCAGCTAACACTGTGGCCTCAGCAAAGAGAAGCAGTTCCAGCCACCACATGCGGGGTGAGGTAATTAAATGTTTGACCACCTCTGGCAGGCTAATTTTTTAAGTGGATAATTTTGTATGGCCTGCAAATAATGCTCTAAATATCCAAATAGCCCTTGGCAGAAGAAAAGGCTCCCTATCCGATCTAGACAAACAAATAAATGAATGGGGAAGAAAAAGCTTCGGTGGGAAGAGTGGGGTTGGAAAACCAGCACATTGTAACTATCACAGTATGACTGGTTTGAACAAGAACCTTCAATGGATGCTAAATTGAGGAGGGCAAGTTCTACCAGAAGCAGAATATCTGTCTGGTCTTCATCTATCTCCCAGCAGGTTGCTGGTAAAGGGAAGATACTGCTTCTAAGCAGAAAACATTACTGGTCTGTAAACTTCCAATATGTTATGTAACACAAAGAGGGGCTGAAGAACTGCTTCCGGTTAAAAGGTACAAGAGACAACAAATTCAACATAAGACCTTCAACTTAAGGGGAATATGCTATGAAGGACATCACTGGGAGAACCGACAACGTGGGACATGGAACGCTAATCGGATCAAAAGAATTCCATAAGTGTTAAGTTTTTAGCATTTGATAATTCAACTACAGCTAAGTAAGACAAGGTTCTTGTTCTTACGAAAAACGCCCTTCAGTATTATGGCCGAAAGCGGCATGATATGGGGAACCTACTCGTTAAGAGCGTAGGCATCGGAGTCAGAAATCAAGTTGACAGCACCCAACAGCACCATTTCCACCTAGATTCTAGAGGCTCTCTGACATCAGTCCTCCCTGGGACCCACTCCAGACCTGCAGGATCAGTGGTTGGGGCCCACCACTCGGTGTTCTCCCGTGGCTTCTGATTCATGCTGAGATCTGAAAATCACTGGGACAGAGACAATGGTAAAACAATGAGGTGATCTGCTACAAACATTGGTAAATCCGAGAACAGGGTATAGAAGAGTTTTCTGGACTATTCTTGTAATTTTTCCTTAAGTTCGAATTATCTTCAGAATACAAGTTAACAATAGCAACAAAAAAATGAACGCTGAGCAATGTCGGAGGGGAGGAGATGTGGACGAAGACTCAAAGGGTGAGGCAGCACATCCCGTAATCATAATCACAGGCGGGGTGAAAGTTAGGACTGAAGTGGCAGCAGCTCCAACTCAGAGCAAGGGGCAGGAGGTCTGCCGAGCCTTTGGACCACGAGTCTCCTTGCAGAAAACGGACAGAGGCTACACTCACCGGAGTAGGAGAGTCCAGCAATCTCCAAGAAGAGCTCTTCTTCTGAAAAGCTTTCGGGGAGCATGAGGAACGCAGCATTCACAGCGCTCTTCAGGTTTTTATCGAGGGCTGCCTTGAGGGTGGTGTTCTCATTCATTGTGACGATTTTCACCTGAAAAACGAGCAAAATTCCAGAAGTGAAGCACTACTCAAGCTGTGGGTTTACACAGACTTGGGATGCTCCCAAATGGTTAGTACCGAAGTCTTGGAACATCAGGCCAGTTGATGAGAAGTAATTCAGTTTCTTTTTGTTGTTGTTGTAATCGTTTTATTAGGGGCTCATACAACTCTTATCACAATCCATGCACACATCAATTGTGTAAAGCACATTTGTACATTCATTGCCCTCATCATTCTAAAACATTTCCTCTCCACTTAAGCCCCTGGCATCAGGTCCTCATGTTTTCCCCTCATGAGCCCTTGCTAGTTTATAAATTGTCATTTTGTCATATCTTGCCCTGTCTGACGTCTTTCTTCACCCACTTTTCTGTTGTCTGTCCCCCAGGGAGGAGGTCACATACTTGTAATCGGTTCTCCCTTCCAACCCACCCTCTCTTTACCCTCCCAGTATTGCCACTCACACCACTGGTCCTGAAGGGATCATTCGCCCTGGATTCCCTGTTTCCAGTTCCTTTTTGTACCAGTGTACATCCTCTGGTCTAGCCAGACTTGCAAGGTAGAATTGGGATCATGACAGTAGGGGCCGGGGGGCGGGGAAGCATTTAGGAACTAGAGGAAAGTTATATTTTTCATTGTTGCTACATCACACCCTGACTGGCTCGTCTCCTCCCCAGAGAAGTAATTCCGTTTCTAAGAAGCAATCCCACAGTCTGTTGTGTGCCAAAGTCAGAGAAATCACAACATGGGAAGAGATCACTATGCCAATGAAAACAAGCCAAATGTTACTCTTCAAACAAGGAAACACACCACAGGCTTTGAGAAAGAAATCAGTACATAGTGAGTTGATGTTCTTTGAAAATTAAAAAATCTTAAAAAAAAAACACCCTAATTTTTCACTTCATTTTCTGGGGGAGACAAAGTCATTTTATGTCTTTAGGACTTCTCTATTCTTGCCTCTATGGAACTGGATGGTTTATGATCTACTTCATGATTTCTAGATAAATTGATTTTGGACTTGACTGAGTTTAAAAAAAAGTCGGTACGGTAGAAAGAACATGGGGTTTGGAAGCTAGGTCTGGGCACAAAGGTAAGAACTTACTAGCTGTGTGAGTGTGGACAAATCACCTCTCGGCAGTCCTCATTCCCACAATGAAGATAACAGATGCTCACTGAAGTGGTCGGAAAGATGGAACGGGACAATATTGGTAGGTGTCCATGACACTACTGAATGCCTTGCTTCATCAAGAACTGCTACGGATTCTTCTTCCTTCTCTTTCCCTGGTTACCCAGTCTGCAGTTGCTCTGGAAGAAGGCTTTGTTCTTAAAAATACAGAAGTTGCTGCCTGAAAATTCCCCCAATCCATTAAAATATGGAGGTTCAGTAGGTACAGAGCTTCTGGTTGTTTTTTAAAATCATTTTATTAGGGGCTCATACAATTCTTCACAATCCGTACATACATCATTTGTGTCCAGCACATTAGTACATATGTTGCCAGCATCATTCACACAACACCTGCTTTCTACTTGAGCCCTTGGTGTCAGCTCATTTTTTCCCCTCCCTCCCCACTCCTTGATAATTTATAAATTATTATTATTTTTATCATATCTTACCCCATCTGACGTCTCTCTCACCCACTTCTCCACTGTCCATCCCCCAGGGAGGAGGCCATATGTAGACCTTGTCATCTGTTCCCCCTTTCTCCCTCACCTTCCCTCCACCCTTCCGATATTGCCACTCTCTCCACTGGTCCTGATGACTTCATCTGTCCTGGACTCCCTGTATTTCCAGTTCCTATCTGTGCCAGTGTACATCCTCCGGTCCAGCTGGATATGTAAGGTAGAATTGGGGAGGAAGCATTTAAGAACTAGAGGGAAATTGTGTATTTCATCATTGTTACACTGCACTCTGATTGGCGCGTCTCCTCCCCGCAGTCCTTCTGCAAGGGGATGTCCAATTTTCCCCAGATGGGCCCTGGGTCCCCACTCTGCACTCCCCCTCATTCACAGTGCTATGATTTTTTTTTTGTCTTTGATGCCTGATACCTGATCCCTTCA